GGGGGGGGGGGGGGGGGACCGCGGGGAGAGATGGAAAGAGAAGAAGCAAAGAGATGCCGCATGCGTACGAAGCGGACGCTGGGGTTTAACTAGGGGCAGGCGGTCGCTGACCCGCAAACTGAATCACACGTGCAGCCTTGTGGTTGCAGCAGGTTTGTATTCGCGAAGCAGGCACTGGAACAGCGTGGCGTTGATACGAAGACAGGCAGGTTCCCGAAAGGACATGCGGCACAAGAACGCGGCTGGCAAGCGAATTTCTTTAGGTCGTTCCGATGCGATTCTGCGGGAACGTTCATGGGATTCGACGTTCCCCCCTGCCTCGATCTTGCTCTTGTTCTCATCCCCGCTTTTCCTCGCGGTTGCTCTGGATCCCCATGTGCCACCCGCTATCTTTTTTCGTCGGACACCCGTCTCCCTGAAACCGATTTCGACTGAGTGAGTTGACTCGAAGTGTTTTACTGTTTGACGCAGGTGTCCTACATGAGTGAACGTGCATCGTGGTCGCCATTGTACACCCTGCGCGTGGACGCAATGACGGGTTGCATGTCGTGCACGTTCTTCGGAAGGGTGTCCCAAAGCACCAACGAGGACTGGGAAGGTGCGCTCAGCTCGTCAAACCCGCGACGTTCTTCTCAGTACAGCACGCCCCCTCGCTGTAGCTTCATGGCCAAGCTTCCTTTTGGATAGGCTATACTTTTTTGCGATGGGCATTGCGATCCCCGCCTGATGTCTTTTCCTGTTGTTAAGTCTATCCCCCTCTGCTCAAAACAGTACAATAGAGGCCGTTTGCTTTGTGGCTCGACGAATGGTCGCTCCGAAGCGGTGGAGCAGTCCTCAACCTATCTTTGTACTCTGTCCATTTCCCCCCAACCGAGTCGTTGACGGGTTGCTATTCGTCGAGGAGACAAGCGTAACCCCTTCTCTCTGTGGAAAACCTTCTTCGTTTCTATCGAGTCTACTCCTAAACAAAACCGTCCTGGTGACAAGTGAAATCCCGTCGGCGTGTTCTACGTATCTAGCAACGGATCTGATCCTGGCTGTCGGCTTTTCCTCGACAGTTACTCGGCGCAGCATCCATAGTGCCTACAAGTATGACCCTGAACCATCAAACTACGCCCGTGGCACATGCCCCGTGTACTCCATCTTTCCGATCCCGTCTTTGCCCCGCAGGCGTGGCGTTAAAGCTGTCTACGGCCGAGCCCTCCGCCCGCAGTACCCCATCGTTCCTGACAACGAAGACGGTGTCCCTCAAGTCTACCGCCGCTGCCCCAATACAGCTGAGGAGAGTCTTGACTCGGGTGTGTTTCGTGCTCGCCCAAGCCGTTTCAGTTCGAAGCTGCCATTGTGAGTTACTCTGGCTTGGAGGAAAGCTCGGGTGCCTTCGTTGTTTTGAGTCCTCGCTTGACTCATCGGGGGAGACACAGAGGGTCATATCAGCGGTTTAGCGCTGCCGTCACCGCCGCGTGGGCAGGAACCTAAACTCTCCCAGCTAGACCAGGTATCATCGATGCCGTGCTAGCACTCTTAGCTTCGTGGCCGCCAACATGCGACCACGCACACACACCACCGCTAGCGTCGTACGAGGTGCGGCGTTACGAGCAAATGCGCGTGGCAAGTTCGCGCAACCCTTACCGTTGTCGAATTCATTTGCGGATGGCAGCGCAAATTAATCACTCCGGGAACATCGCATTCGCGCCCACCGTTGCCCTTCGCTCCCCCCCGCGTGTCGGCTCGAGACAGTCGCCGCCGCCTCCGCCTTCCCACGCCAGTGCGCACTTGTTTGGCGTGACATCTGTACCTGGTGCCGGCAAGACGTTTGACGCAGCAGCGCCGCAGGGTGTAGGCTTTTCGTTCGGTGCTATGCTACCCCGGCGTCGGCGGTGTCGGGTTTTGGGGCGGTAGGCAACCCCTGCCGTCGGTGGCTTCGGTTTTGGCTTCGGTGCTCAGGCAACAGCGGCAGCGACAGCGACAGAGGAAGCGACGGGTGGGGATTTCGTTTCCTCGGCCCCTCCGCCCCCCCTCGAGGCCAAGCCCGCCGTGGCTCAGGTCGAGGGCGGCGGAGTGGGTGCCGTTAAGTTCGCCATCGAGAAGCCGGCCACCGTAAAGGGAGATTATTTTTTACGTGGCTATGCATATAGCACGAAAGAGTGAGGCAGGTTTGACGAGGAGGTATACTGCTGTTGAGATCATTCAGGGCGGACATGGGTTTGTTATGTGCTTCCTGCGCAAAGCGCGGTTCCGCGGAGGGTTCGCAATATGTACGTCGAAAGCATTGATTGTTGGTGGCCCGAGTACGAGGAAATCGGGGTCGGAAAGCGGGCAATTTCATGGGTCGGGGACACGGCTGTGGTAGCTTTTCTTGCATCCTTTAGGTTCGTACCCTGCATGTCTTGGTGCGGACACTGGTTCTCGAGCATGTAAAAGGTTGGCTCAGACAGCCATGGCAATGCTCAAGATCTGTGTGCCAAGCTCGTCGCCGCCATACTCTCGTTAGCCTGCTGCTGCTGCTGCTGCTGCTGCAGGGGAAACGAGGAGTCCACGAAGCTGTCCGTCGCTGTACTGCAGCTATCCACGGATGTCGTCCACTACGTGGTGCCCTCAATGGAAGCCACTGCCTATCTACAGGCCAACGTGAGATCCTTACTCATGTGATACCTAGCTTGATAGTTTTTTTTATATACCCTAGGTTGGCCAAACCAGCTCGGAATGCAGCTTGTTCGGTTTCGCCCAGGAATGCGGTCTTGGGCGTTTGAGATCGGTATCGATCAAGCACCGGTGGTGGAAATGCCTTTTCCTTGAACGGTAGGCGTTGTCACACGACCCGGCCCCTTTCGGCTTTCGTTCGACCGACCACCGTGTCACCTATTTGTGGTACCTTGAATGGTCCGTTTCGCCACCGGACGACGGCCGCCCTAGGCGACGAACAACACCGACTACCTGCTCCTGGTGAGCGAAGACGTGTCCATCTTCTTCGACAACAGCTTCGTCACCAAGACCAGCCTCGCCTCCGCCTCTCCCAGAGTCTTTCCAGACCTTCCTAGGCATCGACCCCGCCGTTAAGGTGCGAACTTCCGCGTGGTGCGCTTCTAAAGTAAAGAGAACCACCCGGAACGATTTCGCGAGTTTTCTTTTTAAGGTGCTCTATGAGAACAGCAGACACAATAGCTCAACTATTTTCTTGTGGTGTGGTGTGATTTGGGTGCGAGAGCGGAGGGTCACAGGGGAAAGTGTCCCGGTAGTTTTTTGCTCCTTCCCCTGTCGGCGCCAACAACCCTGCAGTAGCCCACACTCCCCGCTCGTTCCGGGAACGCTTACCCCCATGTCTCTGCCTCTTTGCTTCCTCACGTGCCTGACATGTAAAACGGCGCGCCGAGTAGGTGAAGGTTGCACCGCCCCGCAAGGCAAGCAAGCAGAAGGGGCTCTTCGGAAAGGTGGACCACGTCGCCCATGTCCACAGGTGAAGCCGAAAGATTTATTTCGTTTCGCCCAGACAGTGGAAGGAAGGCTTTACAATATTGTTGCCCCGGTCATTCGCTCACTCCCCTAGTTGACTTGGGTTTACGCCAAGGGTCGTCTCGCCATGAACGTTCCGATGTAGCGTGCGAGTGTAAGGTGGTGTACGGACATTTCATGCGTTAGTTCTTGTGCTGTGTACTGCTTCACCTGTTCAGGAAGTGCGGCGCGCTTCTTGCGGAAGGTAACACGCAGTGTTGCTGCCCCGGCATGTATTTGCTGCGTCCCTCCGCATCGCCGTATGGCTAACCTGCTCCTAGCATGACCTCGAACCACCGAATACTTTTGTTTTTCATGTTTTAAGAGTTGTTTGTAACTCCCCGGTGGAGTCGTTTTGTTCACGCCGTGATAAATCAACAACGGTTTTGGTGATCATCGACAAGCGTAAGATGTACCTTTACCCGTTAGCCAAAACAATTGGCCACACCAACCATCTGTTGCAAAAGTGTTTGCTCTCTCTGATTCGCTGCACTACACTGTTGGTCACGATCACGCGCTCGGACTAAAGATTCCCTCTTTGCAATGTGGATGGCACCGTGTGCACGCACGTTTGTTCAGCACGGTCATCTCCAACAAGAAGAAGGTGCCCGTGACTTGCGTCGTCATTGAGGCATTGCCGCTGTCCACCAACGAGAATATCAAGGTGGGTGTTCTCTGATCTTGCTGCTTCGGTCATGAACTTCACTCACCAGAGTTGTGGCTGGTGCAACATGATCACGGGATACTTTGCACCCACGCGTTGAGAACGCTTGGGGCAAGCGTGGAGAACTTGTGACCAACGCATTTTTTCCCAGGACTAGCAAGCAGGGTGATATGGAGCTGGGATGAGTTGAGGTGGTTTGGGTTGCCAGGGCGGCGTTGGGCCCTTCGAAGCGCCTGTTGGTAGCGATGGCCGCGATGGATGGCACATCGTAGTATTTTTTTTTGAAGTCCGGAAAACACTACCACTTTGCAGCGTACAAACAGCACCAATCGGTTTTCCCTGGCATGGGCACTACAGCTGAAACCAAACTGCACGTTGCAGGCAGTGATCGCCGTATGGTGTGACAATCGAATGATGCCGTTTGTTTTTTCGACGAGATTGCGGATCCCAAAACGGTTCCAAGAAAATACAAGATAGCTACATATGAAATCTTTTACCCGAGGTGTTGGAAGAGTTCAAGCAAACCTTGGAAAGCCATAGGCTTATGCGGCACAAATCCAACCTTGCCAAGGGTAGGGGAACCAAACTGCAACATGCTGCGCTTTCCGCCTCGATCTCCCTTGGGCGACAGCTGCAACCATGGCAGGTCAAGCTTCAACAGCCCGCTCCTGCAAATGCTACGGAGTCGGTGGAGGCTGTGAATGACGAGGCGCTGGTCGACGCTGGGTTGGAGAGGGAGGGATGTTCGGAGAACAGGGAAAGGATGTCGAAGATAACGGTGGCACGACCAAGGGACCGACGGCGGTGACCCCAGAGGTAGTGAAGACGGGTATCGCCGGAATTACCAAGGGGCCGACGAACCATCTGGTGAAAGGGAAGAGAGCGGGGGATTGAGATACAGAGGCAAAGTTTTACAATAGGGGGCGTGGCCGGACGCTTGAGATGGTGTGGGGATACATGTAGAGCAGTGCTTTGCTTGAGTGCTTTCAATCGCTACATGTGTGTGGCATCGTGAAGTTTGCCTTACACGCCACAACCGATTGTTTTCCCTTGGTGTGGATGTCCTGAATACTGACTGCTGTACAGGCTCGAGATTTGGGTTCAGAGTTGCACAACCTTTTCTGTACGTAGCGTCATGCCCTGCCTCCAAATCGCGCCCCCACCACTCTCCATTAGCCCCCCCCCTCGGTGTTTGCCATCGGGATTGGGTTTCGTCGCTTGGCAATGACGTTTGTAAAACAAGGCTTTCACTTCGTGAACTCGGCAACCAGGTTACNCCCCCCCCCCCCTCGGTGTTTGCCATCGGGATTGGGTTTCGTCGCTTGGCAATGACGTTTGTAAAACAAGGCTTTCACTTCGTGAACTCGGCAACCAGGTTACTGCGTTTTATTTGNGATCGCACCACGTTGTGTTAAGATGGTCAAGCACCCTCGAGGCAGTTACAGGGTGCTTACAACTGTCTCAGGAAGTGAAAGCATCAGAAAATACATTAGCTCATACGCAACTGTCATCCGTACGCAAGGAAGTAAGCACAAGATGCCGAACACCCTTAGCAGGATGCAGCGCACCCTTCATGCGACTCGCCGAATATCTCACGGCGCTTCGCGCTTGGTGATGTGAGAGCCTGGTCCGGTGAGAACCCGGCGTGCTCC